AAAAGCTATCAAAACTTCCTAGGATCATGTCAAAAGGACTCAGAAACCAATTTGAAGAGGTTCCCACTGGTCAAAGATGGGACATTTTGAGTATAAGTTTGATAACTGATTAAGCACAAAATATTTGTTAAATCTATGAGTTTATAATGATAATTTTTAAATTATTTGGTAATTTTTAGAGGATGAAATCAAGAATGACTGCTAACACCACAAGAGAAACAGCTGGACATAAGCTTCCTGATAAAACACACAATACTAATACAGCTTGTTTATAGAAGTAAAGGGAATGAAGTGGAGAGAAGTACATGTTAAATAACAGGAAATTGATCCAGTTTCTTTAGCACATAAATTACAGGAAAGAGAAAGAAAAGCATCAACAACAAAATCTCACTGGACTGATGAAGTAGCAAATCAGATACAACTCATGAGAGAATCAGTAACTAGATGACGGCTCTGAAGAAATTTCATATCACATAATATATAGAGAAAAAGAGACTGGAACTATGAAAGTGAGGTTCAGAAGCATGAAGAAAAGACAAAGATCTTATCAGTCTTCCAAAAAAGAACAGGAATGAAACTATATTCAAAGATGTAAAAGCTAAAATTTATTCAGAACTGATGAATTTTTCTTTCTGGAATCATTTGAATTTTTTTCTAAAGTATATGCTTAGAAGTTTCCTTCTGTTCATGGTTAATTCTTAATTCTGTTCATCTGAAAATGTCTTTATTTTACCTTGGATCATTTTCAGATAAACAGAATTATAAGAGTTTCTCAAGAACAAAAAGAAACTTCTAAGGATTTACTTCAGAAAAAAATGAAAATGATCCCCAAAAGAGTAACTAAGAAGAAAATGTAAGAGATTGGAAAATGTAAAGAGTCAATGTGTGTAATAAAACAGTAACGTTTACCTAATAACATTAAAATTCTGAATAATAATAGCATATGAGCCAGAAAATGGGGGACTGAAATTATAACATTTCTTAAATCTATAATTGCTTGAGAATATTATGATAAAGATACTGATTTACACTTTAATTACGTATGATGAAATTTCAAGAATAAGAACTAAAAGAAAAGGGAAAAGACTAACAAACTGTGCTTGCCATGGGCCAGGAACTGCTTTACACATATCAACTAATTTTAATTTTTTTTATTGAAGTATACTCAATTTCTAATGTGTCAATTTCTGGTGTACAGCACAATACTTCAGTCATATAGGAACACAACATACATTCATTTTCACATTCTTTTTCACTATAAGTTACTACAAGATATTGAAAATAGTTCCCTGTACTATACAGTATAAACTTCTTGTTTATTGAACTAATTTTAATAAATCTCAAGAATCCTATGAGTAGGTATCACTACCATCTATGTTTAGAATGAGAAAGCAGAAGCCCAGAGAGGATAAGGGAGTTGCCAAAAGTCATAGCTATTAAATGGCAGAGCCAATGACACCACAAGCAAAGGCAACAAAAGCAAAAATAAACAAATGGGACTACATCAAACTAAAAGGTTTCTGCACAGCAAAGGAAACCATCAACAAAATGAAAAGGCAATCTACTGAAAGGTAGAAAATATGTAAATCATATGTCTGGGGTTAATATCCAATTAACCCAGGACCTTGTGCATGCAAAGCAGCAGCTCTACCACTGAGCTATATACTCCCCACCCTCCAAAAAATATATTAAAAAAAAAAATGACACAGCCACGATTTGAATACAAGCGGTCTGGCTCCAGAGTCTGTGCTTTCAACTGCTTTCAGCTTCCTAATCAGTAGAATAAAAATAAACACTGGAATAAATTTTATTTTTTAAACTTCATATCCAAATCAACCCAAAACAGTACAAAATGAAACAAACAACAAAAAATAAAAACAGAAGAAGTAGGATAAATAGCACAAAGTAAAATGGTTAACAAGTTCAAATACATCAGTAATTTGAATAAACGAAACAGTTAAGGAAAGAGAAACTCCAGTCTCATTAAAAGAAGAAATACATGAAGACACAAAGTTGAAGTTAAAAAAAAAAAAGCAGCAACAACAGCTACTCCTAGAGGGATCAGAGGTGATGTACTTACTATATTATATGAAATGAGTTTTCAACAAAAATCATAAGACACACAAAAAACCAGTAAGTAGGACCTATTCATAAGGGGAAAAAGCAATCACTTGAAACTGTCCTCGGGAAGCCAAGAAGAGGACTTCAAAGCAGCTATTATAAACAAGTCCAAAAAACTAAAAGAAATCCTATTTAAGAAGTAAGGAACAATAACTCATTAGAGAATATCAATAAAAATTATACAAACAAACCAAATGGAAATCCCAGAATTGAAAAATTCACTAACTGAAATGAAAAATTCACTAGAGGAGATCAACAGTAGATGTGAGTTGATGGAAAAAAAATTCAGTGAACTTGAAGGTAGAGCAACAGAGATTGTACAATCTGAAAAACAGAAAAAAAGAGACCTGTGAGACATGACCAAGTATAGCAACATACATGTAATGAGAGTCCCAGAAAAGGAAGAGAGAACAGGGCAGAAATGATATTTGAAGAAACATACCATGTTAGATGAAAAACAATCTACATTTCCAAGTTAAGTGAACTCCAAATGGGATAAATACAAACAGATCCACACTAAGTCACATCCTAGCCAAACAGTTAAATACAAAGAGAAAACTTTGGAAGCAACAGGAAAAAAAAAAAAAACTCAACATGTGTATGGTGGAATGACAATAAAATTAACAGCTAATTTCTCATCAATAATAATAGAAGCCAGAAAACAGTAGAATGAAATACCTGAAGTGCTGAAAGAGAAGTGTCAACCAAGAATCCTCCATCAAACAAAACTATCCTTCAAATATAAAAGTGAAATAATAACATTTCCAGATAAAGACTGAAAAAAATGTGTTGTTAGTAGGCCTGCCTTGCAAGAAATAATAAAAGAAGTTCTTGAGGCTTCTTGAGAAGAGACCAAATGGTAACTTGAATTTAGATGAAGAAATGAAAATTCCTGGTAATCATGTAGGTCAGTATAAAATGCAGTATAAGTATGTAATATTTTCTCTTAACTAATTTAAAAGGCAACTGCATAAAACAATTAGAGAATTGTATCACTGGGCTTATGGCATATAAGATGTAATATATATGAGAAAAATAACACAAAGGGTAGAGGAGGAGGAGGAGGCTATATTTGGAGCAAGGAAATGACAACAGAAAGTAACTTGAATCCACAGGAAAAAAATGAGGAGTACCAGAAATGGTACTCTTGTGCATGCAGAATTAAATGTTTTATTTTAATTACTTTATAAAGTTCAATTTAAATAGCCACATGTAGCCAGTGGCTACTGTATAGAATAGCACAGCCCCAGAGGATTCTCTATTCACAGTGGGTTGCAACAATCTGTTAATCCCTTCATGTAAAAAATTTAAAGCTTAAATTATGATTCATGCCTTCTGGGTTTATTATGGATGAACAGTAAGGCAGATCTCCAAATAGGGGACCCATTTTCAAAGAAAATGCCTGGCCCTGACATCAGAAAATGGGTGGAAAAAAATCCATAATTAAATGATTTCAGTTAAAATAAAATAGTTGTGGTATATCACACTTTTTCACTTTACCCTTAACTTTTAGGTAAGGCGACAGTTAATACCTGGCTGAACTGATTGATTAAATCAGCTTCCCTGGATCATGCATTTCTGTGCTAGAATGTCAGGAGCTTTAAAAGGTTTAAACTTTTTTGGCCCAGAAATCTCACATCTTAGAATCAAATATGAAAATACCCATCTAAATAAAGATACATCAGAGTAGTAATTTTAAATGGAAGAAACTGTGAAAAACAACGTATATATTTAATAGTACTTAAATATATGAAGTCTGGTACTTGCTTTAAAATACTTCAGGGGTGGGGGATGCAGAGGTCAATGGGGATAACTGAAGTGAGAGCAAAAACATGTTGATAATTGCTGAAGCTAGGAAATGAATTCATGGGATGTCCATTCCACTGCCCATAAAAAAGTAAAAAAAAAAGTTAAAACACATTTGTAATGTTCTGTGAAAAAAACTAAAAATCATCTATATCCTACAATTAGAACACTTTTTAAAATGGACAGTGTTTCCGTTACTTAAAAGCACATTTAAAAAAATAAAAAGCCTTATCTTTTGTCATATTTCAAAAGAAAAATCCATCAGTCTTTGCTACTTACAACCCAATCTTTGCCCACTTTAGAATGTCACCAAGTTATTTGAAAATGGATGTCTCCCTTTTCCTGGACACCTAAATCTTCTACAGTTACTATCTTCAATCACTTCTGTGTGCTTTTTCCTCCTAAAAGCAGGCATATCCTTTTCTCCCAGCACTCTCCCATATTTATATCTTTAGCTCTTTATTCTCAGCGCCATGTTAGAAGTCTTATAGTTGAGTCTATTTTCAGGAATCTATTTATGGCCATATTCTAGACCCTTTATTAGACTATCTCTTAATAGTATATATACATAAAAAAATTACTTAATTTATGTATTTATTATTGTCTCGTTTTTTGGGGGGGAGGTATTAATTAGGTTTTGGGGTGTTTTTTTTTTAATGGAGGTACTAGGGATTGAACCCAGGACCTTGTGCAAGCTAGGCATGCACCCTACCACTGAGCTGTACCCTCCCCCACAAGTTTATATACTTTAACTCCTACCTACCAAGAAAAGAAGGAACATGAATTTTTTTAAGTTAACAGATGCTGATTAAAAGTCAATGAATATCCATTAATGCACAGAATCGCTGTATCAAAGCAAAACTAGTCAGGAAAAAAATCAGTTATCAGTAGGAAAAATGAATAGTAGGCCTTAGAAATGCACGTTAGGAGATTAGAAAAAAACACACACATGAGTTTAAATTTAAAAAGGAAAGAAGGGGATCCAAGTTATGTGATACAGGATGGCTTTTAAAGAAAAAGGGCTTTGAAATGGGAGGGAATTATGACAGATGAATAGCACAGAGGGTACTTTTTTCCATGTGTCTTAAGCCTTTTCTTCACAGCCCTTGGATAGGCCTTCAAGGGAGAGATTCCTCAGTCAATACCTTTAAGGTGCTGACCCCCCCACCAACTGGGCTCTTAACTGCAGCACCTTTCCCCGTCTGTTCAATCTGCTCACCTGGGTGCCATCCTCCCGCCAAGCTCCTCAAAACCATCCAGGGCTCCTTCCCTTGCTCCAGTAAGAAAATCACATCAGGCTTAGGAATAGAGGGTCCTGTTTGTAAGAAAAATAATGAGACATAATCATGCTGTTCCTGAATTCAAACCCAGTCCTCAAGAAAACTGGCAGCTACATGAAGGACAAGAGGAAGATGTAAAGCAAGGAGATAAAGGTACCACAAAGAACTGCTCATCTCCTTATCTGCAAAGTGCAAAATAATTCCCAAGAGAAGAGGTAAAAGTCCACCCAGACAATTGAAAGATACACCCAAAACTCACAACTTACTTGGGGACAGAAATCCATACCCAGTAAGGCCAGGTTGCTGTAATTCTCCATCATCACATCTCTGTATAAACCCCTCTGAGTAGAGTCCAGGCCCTCCCACTCCTCCTGAGAGAAGTCCACAGCCACGTCCCTGAACATCACCAACCCCTGAAATGATAAAACCACATAGTGCTGTTGAAATTAAAGGAAATGTTTTTCAGATGAAAGAAGACCTGGAAGAGGACACTGACGGATGGAGAAAATACACTGAGCAAATGGGCGAGGCCAAGGATGGGGCAGAGTGAAAAAAAAATGAGTGTAACTAGAACAAAGTACCTCCATCTTCTTGAATATTCTTGTTGCTGTAGACAAAGCTTCGTACAGTGAGACATTCTCATTATCCCACGCCTAGGGCTAGGAATGAACAAAAACACACAATTGTCTGCAGTCTCCCAAATAAATGAAATAGAGTAGGAAAACACACAGCAACCTGCAGGCCTGGCAGATTACTATTTATCTTATGATCATCCATGACTTACCAATATTTTTATTGTGGAGATTTTCAAACATAAAGAAAGTTGAAAGAATTTTCTAGTGAACATCTGACATGCTAATTACTACTTAAAATCAAGTCTTTAGTATGACCTCCTCCCTTCTGTTTTTTTTTTTTTTACTTTGTAAAGGAAGAAGTCAGAATCTTTCTAAAATATTTACCAAATAAAGAAAACCTCTACTGTACATAATAGGACTTTGATATAGTTAAAAGTGTACACCAAATACTAAGGATCTTCATTTTTAGACAAAATCGTAAGTATTTTTCCTTATAATGCAAATTCTTTTTTTAATATCATCAAATATTTAATCTCTATTCAAGTTTTCCAATTTGTTTCAAGAATTTTTTATAGTAACATACATATATTAATTTTCATATTCTTTTTAGGAAATCTTTTAATAAACTTTAACTGAATGTATCTTTCATCTTAGCCTTCAAGGCGAGACATAACCATTCCATTATTTTAGATATTGACACTGAACAAGATTTCTAAGTTACTTCACAGCTTTGAAAGACTAAAATTCTCAAAAACGTATACATCTAGCTAATCTTACTTGTTAAAAAGTTCAAAACTATGGAAAACCTAACAGCATATTGTTTAGGGATATATAGTAAAATAGTTGTGAAATGCAAGAGAATGATGACTGAAAAATTTTCTTTACAGGTTACTCCTGAGAGAGCAAGTACGAAACGGGCTTCAATAGTCCTTCCTGTTCTAGGTTCTGTTATTTTTTGTACTTCATGAAATACTTCATTTTTTTAAAAGGGGAAACTCAAAAACTAAGGAAAAATAAACAGGCTTGTGAAGATGAGTTATTCCACTCAACAATCATTTCCACTTAATTAAACCACATCTCTGACGTAGGAGGCTCAATGGAATGTATTTAGGCTTCATTGTAGAGCACTGCACATAAATGGGAACACTGTTAGAAAAGAACCGGTATAGTATACCAGAACAGAGAGCCCAGAAATACACCCACACACTTATGGTCAATTAACCTATGACAAAGGAGGCAAGAATATACAATGGGGAAAAGACAGTCTCTTCAATAAGTGGTGCTGGGAAAACTGGACAGCTACACGTGAAAGACTGAAACTACAGCATTCTCTAACACCATATAGAAAAATAAACACAAAATGAATCAAAGACTAAATGTAAGACCAGAAACCATAAAATTCCTAGAGGAAAACATAGGCAAAACACTCTGACATAAATCACAGCAATGTTTTTTTGGATCTGTCTCCTAAAGCAAAGGAAATTAAAGCAAAAATAAACAAATGAGACCTAATTAAATTTAAAATCTCAGGGAACTATGCTTAATATCTTGTATAATGTATAATTAAAATAAAATGAACATGATAAAAAAATAATGAAAACGAATATATGTATGTATATAGCAAG